ACGTACCCCTCCCAGTGCACCATCTGCATAGGCTGTTCTTCGCCCCGCGCCGGCAGCTCGCTCTGGCTGCTGTACCCTCTGTGGGGCTGCAGGAGAGCTCAGTCAGGAGGACCCGACCCGTTGCTTGCTTTGTTCTGAGACACATCAAGTGCCAGCCCTGGGTCACCGTGACCCGCAAGCAGCAGTGCTGGCACAAGGGAACGGGGGAACCGATGTGGCAGCAGCCGCTCAAATCAGCACAACTGCCAGGAACTCCCCAGGGCTGTTACAAGTCCCACAGTTTAGGTGTTCTCACCCGTTTTTCGGAATCCCTTATGCAGGCAGGGCTCGTGAGCTTGGTCACTGCTCCACTGAGTTAAATGTCCCCCGGTAGCAGCGATGCATCTGGCTCTGAAGTAAAGCGTTTGGCCAGGCTGCTGTGGGGCAAACCCTGCAGCGCTTGCACAGTCCTTCGCAGGCTGTCAGCCGCTACTTCCCTGTCCTCAGCTTCCCAGGAGCACCGCTTGGCGCCTCTCCAGGCGAGGTGGCACTTCAGGGTTTTTAAAAACATTTGAAAAATAATGTTGTTGGTTTTAAGGGAAAGTATTTCTGAATATAATCCCTTGACCGGCATGCCTCAAATCTGGCATTAGTGTCAGGGCTCCTGGAACCATTCAAACTAAACTGGCTTTACTGTCAGCATCTCCTTTTCTGTTGGATCAGAGTCAAAACAGAGCCTACCAGAGGAAGTTTAAGGCATTCCATTCTCTTTATTTAAAGAGGAAGACGTGTAGTTAAAAATGGCCGTATGAAATCTACTAAATCATTGCTACTAGAGAGCACTGACAACACTAGCAGTACCACACTCAGCTTCTGGTATGGTGATGAGTTCTGCTTCATTCCCGAGACCTGAATTACTTTTCCTAGTGGTCTCCGGTTCATTTATCCCTCTTCTGAATTCATGACTGCAGGAAAGGTTCAGGTCATTGCCCCAGCGCAATAAATACTTTTATTAGATGTGCTGATTTAATCCCAATGTGTTTAAATACAGCTAGGGGCATGCTGCCTTTAAAATAAAATCCAAATGCTGTGACTAGAATATAATTGGCAACGGAGAAGTGTAAGAGGGAACCAAAGCCTTCTTGCTGCTCGGCAGCTGTGTTGGCTGTAGCCATTTTCTGAGCTGGGAGAGGAAGAAGAGAAATTTGGGTTAATTTAAAGCACTCCTAAAATCAGTAGCTATTACTAACCAAAGGATTTTTGTAATGGCATACCATGACTACTTAATTACCAAAGCTGAAAAATGATGGCCTCGTCATCTTTCATCTGCTCTCTTCAGCGCTACACTAAGCGCAGTATGATGTAGCTCACTGTGGGCCCAACTTTTCGTGCCGGTGGGTTTTTTTTTCCTTCCCACGTTGAATTTATCCATCTTTTATGTCATTTCTGCCACCAAGTTCGCATCACTTTCTGGTGAATCTCCTGAAATGATCCAGGTGCCTTGGTTTTTATTCTTCCACTTTGGCAAGATGTACTGGGCAAGTTACACACACGGTACATTTAATGGTAACGCCTAAGTGCTTTACGTCGGGGCAGGTATCCCCCCTCTCCATTCACTGGTGCAAAGTACCTACTGCTTGTGATTTGAGCTTTTTATTCCTTCTCTTCAAACTGGGAAAGGCAGAAGAGTTAAAAGCTTCCTCCACTAGCAGTCAACTCCAGCAAAATGGTAGGACAAAGGTAAGGACTGGTTAAATCAGGACACCGAACTCACAAGCGACGCGGTTCCTCTGTTCAGAGGGAGAAAGGGTGCTGTGAATAAATCCAGTGAGGGAAGCATTCAGTACAGTTTTGTTGAACTAACCCAAACTTTGCTTGCAGGTACCACAACTTCCTGGCTTTTCCTGGCTGAAGCCCTGCCTTTCGGCATCTGATATTGTGTACATTGGTTTGAGGGATGTGGATCCTGCCGAATAGTAAGTCGATTTAAAGGATTTTTGCAAAGGCTGAAATCATGAGCTGCTTCCCCCAGCTGGCTCTTCACAAGGATTGCTAGATTATGATTCTTTTAAAAAACAAATTTATTTTAACAGCTATATTTTGAAGAACTATGACATCCAGTACTTTTCCATGAGGGATATTGATCGCCTTGGAATTCAGAAAGTTATGGAAAGAACATTTGAACAACTGATGGGCAGGTAACAAACTCCTCCTCTCCACTTGTTCAGTAACCTTCAGGAAGTAGGTATTTCAGTGAAGGTCACTCCTGATGCCAGGCGGCCTGACAGAATGGTGAGTGTCCAGTAAACAGCAGAGTCTCAGCACCCACTTTAGTCCTCGACTTCCGCACCTTGAACTGGAACCGCTTCCCTGACAGGCAAAAAGCTGTCAGAGAGGTTACATCAGCCACTGCAGCTGGGGCTCTGCTTTATACCACCTGTTCTGTTTCTTGAGGAATTCTGTATTCTGCTGCAGTCTGACAAGACTCCTGAACCAACCCAGAGTCTAGGGTATATGTTACACTTTAAAAACCAGATTTAGCAACTTGAGGGTAGCTTGAATTCAGCTGTTAGTCCTGATGGCTTCCTCCTTGGACTGTGCCCACCTGTGCTGCCCTGAGGACAACTGCCACTTCCGCTCAGACAGCGAGTTCCCTGTAACCACTCCCTGACTTAGTTCAATGCTGACGTCTTTGCTAACCTCGTTCATGCCTGGGGAACCAGTTCAGGGAGCAAATGCTGCCAGTCTAGGAACACATGGAAAGGATCAGAGCTGGACAGCGTAACCCCTCACCACAGGGTAGAAGAGAGTCCAGTAAGCAGAACAAGGTCCGTGTATCTGTGCTGCTCGCTGTCGTACCTAAAGGTCCGTTCACCCTTCCTTGCTGCAGCGCTGCTGCATAAGAAGTTGCTAATCCAGATGCTTCTCCCTACGGAGTATCTGCAGGAGGTTGGAAGCACAGTCTCTTCCATTTCAATAGCTCAGAGTGACAAGTGGTGTCTGATTTATCAAGCTGCCATCTGTTGTTAGACTTGATGTAGTAAGTAACTAATGCTTTAGGTTTGAGATGACCCTTTGCTTTCCCCTCAGCTAGGTTTACAGGGCAGTTTGGAGGCAGCCTTCGACGACTGCCCCAAAAAACATGGAATGCCCCACTCGTCTTGACGAGCTGTCCATGAAATCCGCAGACTGGGTGCTTCCTGCAGCCCAGAAGCCATGCACGTCAGCCTTTTGGCCTGGCTTTCTGTGCACGAGCAGAAAAGGCTGGATTACATCACGCGTTTCTCTACGTTCTTCCAAATCCGGAGGCAGATACCAGATAAGATGGTTAGAACTAACTCACCTGCAGCCACATCACACCTTGGCAGATAGTGAAACTAGAAAGACAAACTCCTGTTTTCCCAACTGAGGGAAGTTCTGTGCTAAGAACCTGTTTCAGAGTCCAAAGACAGATTAAAAAAAGTCCTTTCCAAATGTGTTAAGGACATGGTATAGGACTTGCGGTGGACCTTTAGCATCACGGAGCATGGTGCTGCCTTGCTGCTCAGCCTGGTCAGCGAGAGATACATGTAGACAAAGCCTGCGGTTCTGAGATTGCCTTTCTTGTTTTATTCCGTGTCAGGAGAAAGAGACCAATTCACCTGAGTTTTGACATCGATGCTTTTGATCCCTCGCTGGCCCCAGCAACTGGGACTCCTGTTCTAGGTGGATTAACTTACAGAGAAGGCATGTACATCACAGAGGAAATCCACAACACAGGTAGGAGTCGACCAGTGGTATTGGCCTAAGCAAGGACAGGAGAAACTCCAGGAAGCTCACGCTGGTTATGCGTTTCCTGTGTAACTAGATAATAGGATAAATGGAGTCAAAGCTAAGGTGCCTGCAGAGCCAGTTCAGCCTTCAAAAAGGAGTCCTCTGGTTGGACTTCCCAGGTGTTGGAAGCAGCTTCACCACCACCAACTGCAACTTACCAAAAGCAAATCAAATGCATAGTACGTAAACAACTAATGCCCAAAATGACTTGGCCATGTGTAATAACTGTTCCCTATTCCTAAACACCTGAGGTGAGATGTAAAAATGGGCATCCGGAATAAAAAAGAAAAAAAGGCAGTTTTAAGCAGCTCGAAGTTCCATTCTAGGATTCAAGGCTAACACATCAGGCTTTCACCAACTATACTGCAGTTGACTCAGTATATTGAGGACTTTCCTCCTTATGCCACGGAGTTTTTATTTAATGTGTTTTAAACGGTGAGTTATTTGCAGTAAAAACAACCCACCCATCCAGAGAGCAGAGTCAACAGAATCATGAATAGGATGGCAAAAAATACTAGGTGAGACTGTTTTAGATCTCCCTATATCTCCTGATTTTTGGAGTGGGAGAAAACAAGATTAAAACCCCATTCCTCTCACAAGTGTATAGGGAACATCAAATTTACTTTTCCCGAATGCTAAAAGCACAAACGGGTGGGGTAGTGATGAGGTAAGAACGAACCAAATTAAAACCCGTAAATTGCATCTGAGAACCGTACCCTCATCATTCCCGTGCCAGCCAATTTTACTTGTCTAAGGGGTAGAGCAGGTCACAGGCTGAAGGATCAGACTTGCTGCAATGGATGGTGGCTGCAAAAGAAACCCTACTGGAGACTTTACCCTTCTTCCTGGTAACAGAGCTGTAAATCGTTTTGACAGGAATGCTTTCAGCTGTAGACATGGTTGAAGTCAATCCGCTGCTTGGAGCTTCTCAGGAGGAAGTGAACGCAACTGCTAGTCTGGCAGTCGATGTGATAGCGACGTGCTTTGGGCAGACAAGGGAAGGAGCGCACACCGCTTTTGACCAACTCCCGACACCCAGCTCTCCAGATGAATCTGACAGTGAAGAGCAAGTGAGGATTTGAGAACCTAAAGCGTTGGGTGCGTTGGACATTACAGAGCTCTGCTGAGACACTTCAGTGGATAGATTGTCAGCACTTGGCAAATACTGTTAACTTCTCCATTTTTAAATAAACTAGCTTTTCCACTGATCGGTGGCTACTTTATTACACACCAAGATTTATTCATTTAGTTAAGTATATACAAAATGAGACAATAAAATATTTATTACCTTCTTATTCATCTTACCAGTAGTTCAAGTCTGTCTCTGCATTTTCCTTTTACTCCCATTCTCTGTCTTTCTAGTGTCAGTACAGTTTCAGTTGAACGTGCTGTCTGGTGAGACAGTCCAATCCTCAGCCAGTCCAAGGGAACAGGCAGCCCATCCCGTTCCTCAACAGCGGAAAAGCTCATCTCTGTCACGAAGATTCATCTGCTGCGAAAGAACTTGTAGTAGACCACTCCTCCTAGGATGGCCAGCTCCAGGATGATGATGATTGACAGCAACAACTTATTAGTGGCTACTCTGGAGTTAAGGGAAAAAAAAACCCCAAGATAGAGTTTATCCTCCTTGATTATGAAAGCAAATTCCAGGTAACTGGAGCACCATCTTACCTTCAGTAAGTATAGTCCCTGTCTCAGCTAGACCAGAAAGTGCTATCTGAATAGCTCTTAACAAGCAGGAAATAGTTTTCTACTCGTTTTCATGGAAATTCTGCTTAAATCTTCCCCTTCAGCAGTCGCAGTTCTGTTCTTCTTCCCCCACCCCACATAAGCTCATCCTGCTCGATACGTGCCTACGCATAGCACTTCAGCAAAGAGGGAAATGTTACATTGAACTCCTGTGCTAAAACCTGCATTGTGGTGCTGTTACCTAGAACTTTGTGGTTGAAGTAAAACTGGAAAACCTCCAAATGATGATGCACTTCTACTACTGAAAATGACACAGTTACTGTAACTTCCTTTAGCAAGAGGTATAAAGGAAAGGTGGCTAGGCCTGAGGTACCTACTGGAAATACACTCCATGAACTGGTTTATGAGGAGAATTAAACCATACAGTTTAGAAACTGAAAAGACACTTAAGCAGCCAAGGCTTTAGTCATCAAAACAGTATATGGTCAGGCTCAGAGTTTCTCGTAGGAGAGTAGCTACTCTAGGGTATTACTGTGGGCTAAACTGATTTGTCTGTGTCAGCGGACATCGCCTGCTCACAGCTGCAGCGATTTCCAACCTGAATAACAAGGGGTTGCATCTAATGTTACCATTAACAACTCTCTGTAGCTTGCTTACTCCTCACCGCAACTGAGGAGTTGGCCTACATGAGCAGCACAAGTTCAGCACCGTTCACCTTCCTGTACTCCATCAAGTAGTTACCAGAGAAGAAAACACAAGTTAGCCTCTGCACATGGGCCCATTCCCCAAAACCTGCCTGCAGTTCCAGCTGACACTCTACTTTTTGGCTGAAACTGGCTGGCAACAATGGCACCTGCAAGCGCTGCCCCAGGCTGGTCACATACTCACCTCCTGGACATTGACCGCAGAATCTTGCGACTCTTGCTCAAGTTCTCACTTGTGTTCACCAGCTGAAAGGGAACAAAAGTTACCCGTCAGCTGACACAGCAACTCTGTAAAGATGCACTGGAAGCAGCTGGTGTTGAAACGCTGCAGTTAGTAAGGGGACCAAGGCTAACCATATTTCTTCCCTAGAAAGGAGACAACACTTCCCGCTTGTATTGCGTGTAGAGAATGCTGTCTGAAGACTTGCCTGCACACTCCCCCTGGATACATAAAAAGACACACAATTTAGGACCACTTTCCGTCCCTGTAGTTGATCTACAGCTATCAGAAAGTCGCTATTAGCTCCTTTTATTAAATTTAATTTAATTATTGGAGTTGTTGACACCAGAAGAAAATTATTCTGAGTGTTCTCCCCAGCGCGTACCTGGAACTGTCTGAAACGCTGTTCACTTGTTAGCCAAGAGCCACGTTGCACCCACATGTGTAAGTGACCCAGCGAATACGAGCTCTGAACCGGGAATAGATAATTGCCGTCATCAGAGCCAACCCTCAAGTTACTTTTCAGTCAGCTATTAAGAAGCAGGCAATTAGTGAGGTTACGGACAAACGAGAAAGCTGTTGTCTCGCAGACGGTCAGGATTCATGATGGATGGCCGCTGGAGCTCTCCGGGCAAGATTTTGCTAGCTAGTCCACTTCCAAACCTCCCAGGGAAGTGGGAGGTGAGCCAGGTCACTTGCCATCAGACACCTGCCTGCACAGTGCTTCTGTGCCCTCCCCTGCACGACTGGCCCCATAGGTACGGTGCTTTCACTGAGGTGGACTGGACCAAGCTGGGAAGAAAACTACCGAGTCCATTCAAAGCATACTGGGTTTCCAGCCTTTGCCGTGAAAGAGCAGGCGAGGAGAAGTTGGAATGTATGTTCATACAGCTCAGCGATCCAGAGCCTGAAAGGCTCTCCGTGAAAGTCACAGCATCACGAACCATCTGTAGCCAGGCTGACGTGCCTGCAGGACCGTGAAAAGAACAGACCAAGTCCACACCTACAAATCTCAGGCTTGCATTTCCTTTCCTGGTCTCCAACGCAAATCTGGGAGCAGGGCAAATCAAATTCTGACTGAAATTGAAAAAACTACTTAAATGAGAAAGCTACAGGCTTCGTTTCAGCGAGCAGAGATAACTCCCAAGGAAAGGGTGGATGCTTTTTGTTTTGGCTGAGCTCACTTACTTGCCAAACTCGGCGTCCCCCTGCAAGTGACTCACGTAAAAGCTTTACGCTCAGGATCCCTTGTACACACACAGAAAATCCCATGAGTTTGTTACTTCAAAAAGCCAATTCTCAGTTCTGCCTTTGTGTGTAAACCAAACAAATAATCTGCTTTTTAAAGAGCTTCCACACAGAAGCAGAGCTGCCTGACCCAAGGATGAGGGAACAGGTGTCTTGTCTGAGCCTGCTTTCTCCCTCCTTGGCTAACCTAGAAATATTGGAAGGTTAGTAAATAGGTAATTAAGCTTCTATTAAATTTAATTTCATCGAAAGAACTTGCTAACTACGTCCCAAATCTAAACCTGTACTTCAGTCATCTGGTGGCGGGCAACTCCTTAGCACTTTTTAAACATCCCTATGGTTTTCAGCAGCACTACTTAGCAGCTTTACAGGTCTGACACCCAGTCTTGCAGAGACACAGCAGCAGATATTTGGCCATCGTGCTTTGGGCACTTCTGCTGTCCTTATTTTCCATTCAGGAGCACAACAGAGAAATGCAGCAGCCCGGGTTTGGTCTGCAGAAACGTCAGTCACATCACGGCGTCCAGGGAGGTCTCTGAGAGCAACCACTGGCACACAGTCCCCACCAAGCTGGCATCAGGTAATTTCAGTTCAACGCCCGCAGCTTCTGCGCTTACTCTGCTCCTGGTGCGTTCCAGTTGCTCCCGCTGCTCTCCAAGTTCTTCGATTATATCGGTGCCAATCTGGTCTGTTTCAGCAGCAATTCGGTGCGAGCGCTCGATGCTCTGACTGGCTTGGTTAAGGCTGTCAGTTCCCTGGAGAAGCAGCACCCTCTGCGACTGCAGATTAGTCTGAAAAGTAACATAAGAGATAAAAAATAAGAAAAATAAGCACAGAGACAGAGGTCTGACAGAGTAAGAAGTTAGGGCGCGGCTCCACAGGCCATCCGTTTGCACTAGCTGTGCACGCTGCTGGCGTTAACAGACGTAGCCCAGCTAATTCCGAGAGAGTTCTGGCTCACATTGTAAGATTACGGCCAGATCTGGTTCAACCTTGCAGAAGAAGGACAGACAGCGAAAGAGTTAACACATTTACAGAAATCGGTCTTTGCAACAATTTACTTGTCCGCCAAAGAACATTTACATGAAAAGAGCATCCCTGTTTTCCAGATGCTAGTTTCCCTTTCGTTCCCATCTAAATTCAGTCTAGTGACTTCACCGTTGGTTGCCGGGGAGATCACGAGAGTTTACAGTCAGAAGGACTAGGAACAAACAGCACTAACAGATGGACTGCTAAGTAACAGAGATCCTCTTTTCATGCCAGCAGCCTTGCGACAGGGTAAGAAATGTTTGCTGACCTCGGGGTCAATAGGTAGCTCAAAATAAGATGTTTTCTTAAGTTTCAGAAAATCTAATCCACCACCCTGCTCCCAGGTTTTAGAGGAGCCAGTCAAGAGGAACCAAATGCAAAATTTTACCGGGGTACTGCAGAACGAGATACCAAGGAAGGAGCCCTCCCCTCCCACCTTCCTCACCGACGGTGACACGCGAAGAGCCCACCGCCACGAACCTTCGGCGCAGACGACTGCGCGTGCAAGACAGCAAGCGGAGTGGGTCTCACTAGCTCGGATACATCTAAGCATAGCTGGTAAACCCAAGAAAGGGGTGTGTTTCTTGCACTGTGGCAGCACACCCACGGTGAACAAAGTACTAGAGGATGACTTCTTGCATTGTCCTGAAATTACTGACACTGAGGTTGCTTAAAAGAGATTTCTACCAGGGAACCTGTGCAGGGCACAGCTCACACACTTTGCTGGAGCAGTTAACCTTCCTTCTCTCCCAGGAGCCTCACTTTTGTGCTTTCCCTGCTGTAGGGGAATGACTGAAGAAAGAATTTGGGTACAGAATGCTGCATAACTTACTAACTGCATGGCATTCACGGAGTTCCATTTTGACTGCGCTCCCATCTTTGTTTTAGGACAGAAAAGCTTTCCTTTGAGTTCCAGGTGTCCCTTCTCCTCCCCCAGATATTAGTGTTACATGCAGAGGGATTTACAGGGAGTTATGCAAGCACAGAAGCCAAGTGGATTACAGCAGAACCACTGTACACAACACGCCTGGAATATTATTTTTGAACAATCACAGCAACGTTAAATAAAATTTATATCTAATTCTCACGCTCTGTTCATTTTCTGTGGAGAAGATTCCGTATTTCATATTGCCTTGACTTCCAGGGGCCAATCCCAAATCTGTGCTTCTCATCTCTCTCTGGAACATGGAGAGGTCTCTTCTGTATGCCCGGATTTTGCTCATCATTTGGTTGCGGAAAGGCAGAGGCGCATACTTCAGTTCCTCCTCCATTTCCCGCAGCTTTAACGAAAGAAAACGTTGTTATTTTTCAGAGCACAAAATCCGTTCTTGTCAGCGGCTGTACTCAACACTCACCGCCGGATGAAGGGACTCACACAGGTTTATGTGACTGGGCGAGGGGGATTAACCCCAAACCCTACACCCCTCATCTGGCATCAAGCACACCATTAGGAGG